CGTCTCAGACACACAGCGTTACCCCTCCCCGTCTTGCTTGTCAAATCCCTGCAATCACACGGGCACTGAGACATGAAAAAAACAAAGCTCCGAAATTCTCTCTTCAAAACAACTTCATGACAAATGATGTCCAAGCTGAACATTAAAAAGAAAGTATCTATATTTACAGTAGACGTGTGGAGGATTCTCCATCACAAATTGCATGTTGAGAAGGTTTTTTTTCTTTCATCTGACACTTGTAGAAGAAGTGCGTATTGTCCTTTTAGCTGCTGAACAAGACAGTGTTTTATTGCACATTTATTCCCACAGAACTTGAGTGCATTGTGTTTCAGACCCTTGAAATGTCTCTTTATCATTTTGAACATCCCTCTTCACTCTAACATATGTACGTTAAAAGACAACTGAAAAACAGGCAGCAGAGTACAGATGTTTTGATCAGATGAAGCCACAACAGAGGAGTAAATATGATCTTCATCCACGTGAAACTGGGATGGTTGGTGGGCAGTCTACCTCCAGCTCACATTCCTTAAATGACTGACAATCTTGTGATTTCTTTAGACATAAATTGATAAATTGAGGTGCTGTCAGGGTAAATCCTGAACAGAGGACCGATTAACACTGTGGTTCATTAAAGGATAAAACCATACAGCTGTGTAATGGATTAGTAGTCATAAATCCTCCCCTGAGGTCTTTTGTGTCAATGCTTGGTTAATTTTCTGTCCATTTAGAGTTAATACCTGATTTTTCCATCTGTGCTTTGTCATGGGAGGAGTAGCCTTTTTTCTGCATCATTATGAATGAATGAATGAGCAGCATTAATACCATATTCGGTCATTACAAACAAAAGACATCTTACTCTGACTTTAGTTGTATACTACTTGGAAAAACAGTAGCTTCTTAGCGTTCGTTGTTGGCCATTTTGTGTGGATCTATTCAGGAAATGTCAGGAAGTGTTGGTTGAAAGGTACAGCGTTAAGGGTTTTAACACTTTTATGATAGCAGTGAATCAAAATAGAATGTGTCATGTGAAAATGGTTGTTCGCAGTGATGAACCAGCAGAGAGTTATCACCCGAATCCGCTGCAGCTGCCCTCGGCTTTACGGAGTTTCAGAAGGGGGTTTATCTGTCTGGCTCACTCTCATGGCTCCATTTTCAGCCACAGCAGGCAGTGAGAAGTGAAAAGCCCACTGCTCAGCACCAAACAGCAGACAGGCACAGTTAGCAGCTAGCGGGTGGCTCTGTCTGCTCTCACAGGGATACCTGACTGAAGTCTTTGCACACATGTAAAACAAAAATGAGAAAACCGGTAAGATGGCCGTACACATGGCAAAGAAATTGGTGTGCTCCAGGAGGAATCTAGCTGAGAAAATCAGGTTTCTTTAAACCCCAGTTACAGAATATGTATTTCTTCTATATTCTTCTATTACTTACAGGTAAGGCTACAAATAATGACTGTGTTCATTACTGATTAATCATATTATTATTGTTTTCTTATAATTGAGTTAGTTTAGTCTATGAAACATAAAAACATAGTGACAAATGCCCATTACACCTTAAGCAGGGTGACTAAAAGAATGACTGAAACCATTCACCAATTATCAAAATATCTGCATTTTATTTTTTGTTAATAGTTAATTGACTAATCAGTTAATCAGCTAATCATTTCAGCTCACTATGAAAGATATATAAATGGGAAAAGATAAAAAAGATACATTCAAACAAGGACAAATAGCAGCGTCCCGTTTGTAAAAGGCAACACATTTATGGGGAAAGCAACTACATACAGCAGAGACTCTTTGTCTCAGGTGTCACAATGAACAGTGGCAGTAATATGTGTGTGTCATTGTAAAATAGTGCAGTATATAAAATTTGTTTCACTTCCTTTTACCTATATTGTTCAGTTGTCTAAACAGCAACTAACTGTCCTCTAAAAAACTAGAACCAAAACACTGTAACATTTGTAAACTGTATCTACTTTCTTCATCTGAAGACAAAACAGATTTTAAAGATCAGATTAACTTCTGATTGGATAAGTTCCTCCTGCTCTTCAGTAATTATCCCAGGAGAAGGGCTCAATAGTTTCTTGACTAATGAATGCAATAACCGCTGAGACTTAATTGCTTTCTCTCAGCAAAAGGCTTTTGTGTGAAAGTAACCCTTTCATTTTAAATGTCAGGTCCAGGAAGACATAACTCTATAAAAGAACAATCCCAGTGATTCATTACTCCACATTGTCGACTCCGAATTGGAAAGTCTGAATTGTCACTACACATGTCTCCGAGTCTATTAATTCTCAATATTTCATTAAATTAACTCGTCCTATTTCTGTCATTGTTAGAAAGTTTTGGCACCTCTGATGTGCAATTTCTCGGCGTCTTTGATTTTGACCTTTTTCAGTTTTCTGACAAAGTTATAGGATTCAACTGAAAAATCAGATTCTAAAGCAATTTCATGTGAGATGACTCAACTTATCAAACACACACACACACACACACACACACACACACACACACACACACATACACACACACCTCCACAATGAAGCCTAACTGGAAATTGCAGCGTGTGTGTGTGTGTGTGTGTGTGTGGGGGGGTAATAGTTTGTTGTGGCCTCAATTGAAGTCGTCCTGTCATTCTAGGAAAAAGGACCCATCTAATTAAATATTCCCCGAGTGAGTTCAGCTGCAGCTTCCTTCCCACATGCTGCTAGATGCCACGCAGATATGAACAAATAAAAGATACCTCGCTCCATCTTCCATGGTGTCTTATCTCTCCAGGGGTGGTTAGAAGCTATGTAGTTCATTATCCCTGAAAAATACATGAGATACAGGCATCAGTAAAGGTATGAACAACGCTTTGAAACTGAGACTGAATGACCTGAAATTGGTATTTAGTCTGTAATAACTATATCTATTTATATGTTTTTATATGTCCCCTCAGAGTGACAACATTGAACATTGAGTGATTAAAACAACTGCGGGGAAGTTTTATTTTTTACATCAAACTGTAAAAAAATTCACGTGACTTCAATCAATGCTCAGACAGATTACCCTGAATGCATCTTCATGAAAAGAAGTCTAAAAGGAGCTGCTGCTTTAAACTGTCTCAAGGCTTAAGACTCTGATTCATCTGCTTCATTTAGTCTACGTCTCCTTCTTTCAGATGTTTGAGATAATGCATGAGTGCTTTTACCTCGCTTCACCTTATCAGTTCATAAAAAGATGCTTGTTTTTTTTTTATACGTGATGGCAAAACAATTCTTTGGATGAGACATTTTTATGTCTGTCTTCTGTATGGTTGCACCCCTTGATTATAATATTGACTGTTAATGGTTGAAGACACGATTGCCAATTGCTGGATTTAGTTTAGAGAGGGATTTAATGTACATATGTACTAGTTACCCCCATGGCTCATATATGTGTGGATGCGTATGCTTATTTTTTTCAACGTTTTCTAATTTTCTTTTCTGTTTTAAATGTAGTTTGTAATGTGTTTAATGATGACCCTGATTAAGTTGTTCTATAAAGTGTTGCTGGAGGTTTGGCCCCTAACAAAGTAGGTTTTCAAATGTCAGTGTAGCAGATCATGTAGAACAGCTGATGTCATTAACCTGTGTTTATGTTTATTTTGTTGTAAAAAATAGGAAAACAAAAAATAAATTTACCACCTGAAAATACTAGTCAGTATTTTCAGCAGCAGCAGTTTTGATTATTAGCCTAATCAATGGAGACTGATGCACTTTGCACTCTGATGTAAACACTGTTCTGCTGCACTGCATGGGAAGTTAACATTCGGGATATGCTCAAATATTGCACAGCTCTATCTCATTAACGATACTGGGTTTTGATACAGTGACAATCATTCCTCGTCCTCTGCCGGAAGAGCCACTCTCATGACGTTGAATCATTCAGACGACTGTCGAGTTTTACTCCAAAAAGTTAAAGCTATTAATCTGTCCTTGAGAAATGACACTTTTCTCAGGCAGCTTCTTGTAAAGTATAAATGGATTATACGGAGCCTCTCTCTGTTGAAGCAGGGAACACATTTTGGCTATAAAGACACTGCAGTGTGACAGCAGGAGCTTTTTCTGCTCGTGATGCCAGACACTGAGAGGTCTGAGTGGCTCTGATGGGTTTTTGAATGCCACGCTCTCCAGGGAATCCTCAATCTGAGCCCCTCTGCTCCTCTTCTGCAGGTGGACTAGCGGGGCCCTCGGGGGCTCGGGGAACTCTCCCACACAGTACACGGCAGACACCTTTTTTTTAGGTTTGTTGCCATGGAAACCTCAGGTGGAAGCTAGTTGTTGGTTGTTGTTCAGCCATCGTTTCTTTATCTTGCATTTCTCTTGACCTCGTCTCCCACAGCTGACATTCATTCATTTCTTCATTTAGTGAACATGTTGAGTAAGTAGCTCTACAGAGAATCACATACGTGAAGGCGTATTTATCTTGCGTGTTTGTTTGTATCAGTTTTTCTATGCACAAGGTCGCCTTTCAGCTGCTCGTCATCAGGCCTGATGAGAGCAGAGGGACGACCAAAGTGCAGATTAGAAAGGAGGAGAAGTCTGCTTCAATCAGCTTCTAGTTCGCTCCCAAAGCAGATTCTTCATGGTCAATTTGCGAACACTGTACGTGCAAAGGAAGCCAGCCGGCCTCCGAATAATGCGAAAGAGAGCAATTGACACAGAAGGGAGGCTAATTAATCCAGTGTTATTAAGGTTTATGATGTGTGTTGAATACAAAATAACCCGAGCTTGTAGCTCCAAGCAGCAGAGCTCGTTTCTTATGTTTGATCTTATAATGAGTGTCATTCTGGATGTCACGGTGGCCTAACAGACTGAGCATATCTGTTGTGTTTGTGATGTTCAGGTCATGACTCTTGTCTACGTCTTGTATGTGTCATTTCTGTCAAGCTCGGCCGCAAAGTAGCTCAGAAGAAGTTAAAGGTGTGAATGAATAAACAGAGCATCAAGGCCATGACTTTTGTTTTTCTCCCTTCAGTTGGATGCTGACCGAGACGAGGAGGAGGTCTTCTGTGACATCAGCATGACTTTGGACAACAAGCTGTTTCCCTCCAAAGAGCCTGCAGCCGGTGAGATGAACAAATATTTTACAACAGTGAGACAGCTAAAACTAGACTTACGGTACATTTATAACTTTAGTTAAGAGTTATCTTGCAGATCTAGATTAAAAATGCATAATACAAGAGCACCTTGGTAGCTAAATGGTTGCAGCGCATGTCACATAGCATGCACCAAAGAGCACCGCAAGGGATGGCAAGCCACCGCTGTCACCTTATCAAGTTTCAACACGACAGAGCAGAGGTGCTGTCTGAAACTGCGACTCAGTATACCTTAATTCACAGCCCAAGATTACAATACCACACAGGAGAAAAGTCACGTAGCTTCCGCCTCACTTGCTCTGGAAAAACCCCCTACTGGAAACACCAGCAGTGTTTTAGTAGAAGATGCTGACTGATTATTTTGAAAGGTTCATTCTGCATACTGAGTACTTTTACTTTTTGAACATCAAGTATATTTTGATGCTAATACTTGATGCAGTTTTACTTAAAGGACCAGTGTGTAGGATTTAAAGGCATCTAGCAGTGAAGTTTCATATTACCACTCATGTCTGTATCTGACAACCTGGGCTGTGAAGTGTGTAGGCGAAACTACGGTGGCCATGAATGGCCCTATCTACAGCCACTGTTTGATGTGTGTCGTTCTGGGCTACTGTAGAAATAAAAACGACTCATTCTACGGTAACAAAAACACAACAATTCTTCTTTTCAGGTGATTAAACACTAATGAAAACATACCTATCAATATTATATTCCATTTCTGCCAGTAGATCCTCCTGAACGTTACACACTGGACCGTTACAGGAATGTAGGACTTTTACTTGTAACACAGTATTTGTACAGTTTGTGTATGCTTTTGTGTGTGTGTGTATAAATAATGTAGTAGAAAATATTCTTTACACTATAGCTATGGGCCAAATGATGATGAAATATGATGCAACAAACATCATCCACAGGCATTTTACTGCTTTTCGAGGGCTACTGGTACATGTGTACAGTTTAGAAAGGCTTCTTCAAAATAGTCCACATACATAAGAAGAGAGAAAACCAAAAACCATCACCCACCAGCTCCCTGGTTACCAGAAGAGTTGGCATAGCAACCAGTGAAGGGTTAGCCACGCTTTGTGAGAAACACTGAATCAGTCTTTGATCAGTCAGATGGTGTCACAGAGACTATATGTATTATGTAAAACCTGATAATTCACGGATTTAAAAATGTCTCAGACGAAGCCACATTCCTGACCTTCAGTGACGACCTGACTGAATCTGATCTGATATGATCAGTGAGCGCTCTGCGGGTGTTTCTGCATTGATGGAAATAATAAACATTTTACAAAAATGTTACCGTTGGCATAGAACTGAGCTGGTCCTGGTTTTTGGTTATAGAGCTGTCTTTCTTTTTCATCATAATAACATATAATAGTAACCTGTAACTGTTCCAACACAGCACAGAAATCCCACGTCGTTTGTAGTGCAAACGCTGCTCACTGTTTCAACTGCTCTACTGTACCTTATTTTGATTCAATAAAATGCTTCTTTATTTTCAGGGAGTGAGTTGTTAAAGGAATGGTTTATGTCTTTACTTTCGTGTCGTGTTAGGTCGTGTTGTGTTGTAGTTCTTGGTTGTATATACAGCCTGATAATACAGGATTTTGTGTTCCCTTTTTCTTCCATAGCCATAGAAATCAACATTCTCCTTTTAAGTTTTTGTTGTTGTTGTTTTGTAATCTCTACCATCTAAAAACTTTTAGTCTTTGTTCCTCTCCGTCCTTTTATTTTACAGATATGTCTTAATTAACCGCAGCCCCTCGACTCATCCGTGTCCTCTTTTGTTGAGCCGTGACGTTTTGTCCACAACGGCCTAGGGCTTATGAGAAATGGGGTTCGTTAAAAGCCACTAAAAACAAAAATATTAGATCATATTTCAAAGAACTACCATCCTTTTTTAACCATATTAAGTGAACCACACAACCTACTGTTGAGAGAGTCTGTTCCAGGGTTAGATTTTTAGTTATTAGTGTAGTTACAAATATCAGTAGGATTGTCAATGAGATATTCTTACTTCTGGAGCAGAAGAGATCTCTCTCTTGCATGTCCATCTAACTGAGAAGGCAGACAGCCTAATTTAAACATCATATACATGAATTTGATGAATAAAGCATGCTGTACTGATAAAAAGCTATGATGTTTGATCATCCCGGAAGAAGGATCGCTCCTTTTGTTGCCTGATTTTATTTAAGTCTTTCCAGTCTGAGGATCTGTGTGGATTATAAAGCCCTCTATGAATAACTTGGATTTTGGATTCATAAATAAACTTGGCTTGCCTTGTTTTATGTTTACGGTTCATTATGTTGTGACACACAGCACAGTTGCAGCGCAGCAGGAAGCTGCATAGGAATTACAGGAATACGTTATGAACACTGGTTATTAGTGACAACCAGGGTGGGGAATTTACTTTCTAAAATGTGAACATCTGCCAGCCACAAACAGATAAATGTTCAAATTCACCAGCCACATTCATAATGAAATCTACCAGCCACTTTCACACTTTGGTGCTAATTTCCTCCCCTGGTGACCACCAACCACATTACCATTGTTTTCTTCTCTTAAAAGCATTGTGTTCTACATCAAAACGCTTTGGAGATTGTGTGATGCAGTGAACAGTTTGAAGCAGATTTGCCACAACAGATTCACTCAGGAGGAAACTGAAGTTCATGTCACGAGGTGCAGAATCCCCATGAGAGAACATATGGCAGCTCAAAATGGTTCAGGAGGAGGAAATATGTTAACGTACAGTGTTGTTCTGATGAGAGGAGAGCTCTCACCCAACAAAATGATCAGTTCAGTGAGACAGTGACAGTGAGTGAGCAGGCAAACAAAGTCGACAGGTGGAGACAGTTTGGACGTGGCATCGTTATTACATGAAATTTGACCCACAAATCACCCATAAAGAATAGATTGTCAGCTTCTCTTCAGCTTCTGTACATAAGGTGATAAAGGCCAGGCACATAATAAGACTGAGGCTCACATTCCCAGTGATCCTTGACTTTGAAAATTGCCTCGTGCTACTTGACAGCTACCTGACACTCTCCTGCAGCTCTTCTCCTCACACTTGAGAGCAGTCTGTTTCATGACAGGACACAGAAATACCAAACACACGCAGGTGTACTTATGCCACTTGAGTTGCACAGAGCCTGCAATATCTCAAAAACAGATCCTCGGAAAAATGAGAAACGTTCAAGCTCTCATTAAGCAATAGAGAAAATGATCACTTAAATCAAGCAAAAAGCCCAGAGCATCCTCTTAATGTTTGCTGATTTCAACCAAACTGTCATGCAGGAAAGTCACATGATGTTGTTCTTAAGATAATATAATTTTTATAGAAAGCGGACTTTTTCCCCATTTAGGCCATGATCGACAGAGAGAACTTCCCATCAAGGGTCCACTTACATTCAGCAGTTATAGCTGCACTTTGAGATGCATTTAAGAGCAGCATGACATCTGTGCGTTTGTCAAGATGTTCCATTGAATATGTTTTCTTTATAATGGAGCCCCACAATGGGCCCCTACTAAGAAAGAAAGTGTAATTTGAAAGGATCGCCAAATGGTCTATTTTTACAAGGCTTTATATCAGAAATCTGGGTCACATGTGCATTCTGTAGCTTCAACCTTATGTCCTCTCACAGAGTCGGTGAAATTACATCCTGCTCATATAGAGAAGTATAAGGGGTAGCAGAATTAGATTGGCAGAAGTAAAGGAAACTCTTTAAGAGAAATGGCCTCCTAGCCTTCTAGTGTCATATTTTTCCCAGGAGAGGAGAGGGTTATTATTGCAGCAGCACACGTGGACCAACCTGAGGTGACGGCAGCCTCCGCCACCTGACCATCGCTGGCCTCAACAGCGAAGCAAAGTGTCCACACTGTCACAACTCAGCCCCTCACTTTTTAAAGGCGAGATGCACTCTGACATGTTGCTGACTCTGAAGTTGTGAACTGCAGAGGCCACACAGGACAGTTTGTTGTGGGCAAATTTTTCTCCTCGCTTTTTAAAATAACGCTTTGGAGAAATTCACAGCCGCCATCTCTCTGCAATCTGCCTAAACGTTTGAAGCTGCAAGCTCGCAGAATCTAACCCAGTTCTCTCTTCAGAGGGGCTCTCGCGTGCATGAAATAAAATCTGCCGAGGGGAAGTGTTATTCACGACCCATTTCCACCGAGGAAGAGAATGAAGATGCTATGTGTTAGAATTTATCAGAGAATCACCCTCGGCAGGTTTCTGACAATAGGAAGTTCAGATTCACGTGTTTATGGGGCCAAAAATACCCACGATTTGTGCTTATTTTATTTTCCTCTCTTTGCTTCGATTAAACATCAAAGTGCAGATGTGCAGCTAGATGTTTACATCTGGAAGTTTGTTGTGTGCTGTAGTGGCACACATGAGACTAATTGACACAGTAAATCTATACGGGGTTGTATCCACTGTAGTGTGATTTGGCTGTCAGTGCATATATTTATAATGTAACATTATATTTTTTTACTAATCTGCTGAAATAATGATCCAAGAAACATTTGGGATTTTGTCATAAATCTCAAATGAGACCCAACTTCTTCTGACCCTGTGTTTAAAACATGGGGATTTTTGAACTCTAAATCATTTATCAATCAAAGATCCTGAATATACTCTGTTTCCTGCTTCTATGAGGATATTTGAGGATTTGCTGCTTCTCTCTGTTTTATGCACCTTATTCCCAGCCCCATTCATGCATTTCTGTTATTCCGTTCACAAACTCCCTTCAGTTAGCCGTATAGACATAATATCTTCGGTGTTCAGACTGTTAGTCAGACAAACAGGCAATTTGAAGACATCACTTTGGGCTTCGATGCAAATGTTGTGCAGTTTACACTATTAATTGACATTTTAGACTGGACGATTAATTGGAAAGAGATAGAATCATCAACATGGAAAAACGTATTAATCAATTAATATACCACTACGTCTTTGGGGTTAAGAGTTCAGAGCTGGGAACCTTTGTAGTATCTCTCTCTTCCTCTTTTCCTCTCTCTCCTATTTCTAGTAAAGTGTCAATCAATGTTAGAAAATTAAGATAATCTTAATTGCAATCTTTTAATTTCAATGTAAAATACATGTTAGGGATTTATATATATGGATCTAGAACTCATTCATTTATTTATTCTAAAAGATCCCTAAAGAAAAGGTCACTGAAGTCATTGTCTAAAAATATTTTTCTACTCAGTTAAAATTCAAATGAGAAATTAAATTTGATGTTGGTTCTGTTCTTCTGTTTGCAGGTCCCAGTGAGCTGGACCTCAGTCTACTGGGTGAACCCAGCAGCCTCGCAGATGTTGCTTGCAAGTACGATGAGGTAAGATTACGATTCATTTCTGCTTACTAAATGTTTTAATACCTGTTGTCAATATGCAATGTGAGTTTCTGGGTTTGATCTTATTTTGACAGGAAAAACCTCTCTTATACAGCACAGTTTAATGCACGGTGTGAACTACAGGGGAGCCTCAGGGAGCTTGTCTCCTCTTAATAAGACATGAGCTCCACTAAAGACATGATTTGTAAAATTGTAAAATATTGACAATATGCTATTTTTGCCATGCATTTCTTTTTCTTTTTTTTGTATCTTCTATTTCTAGCTATTTTTGATGTATTATCCATGCATGATGGTTCATCACTAATTTTAACTTAAATAAAGATACCAGCCAGCATGCTGTTCTTGACATCACCCCCCTAAAGCCCATAGTAGAGTTTGCACACTGGTTTCAGTTCAATAAACAAATTAAATTAAAGAACAAATCTGATCAAAGAATATCTAAATAAGACCTAACAAACCATTTTTTATTCTTAATGCTACACATTCTGGTCAAAGTATTGAGGTGTGCTTCCAAGCGTTATTGAAGTCAGACAAACTGGGATGATCATGCTGTAGTTTCATATTTGAAAAAAAAAAATCAATAATTTGACTTTTAACTAAAAACTTCAATTATTCAAACTGACACACACAGGCCAAATCAAATGAATACAATTGGTATTTTCTAACTATAATGTCATTACATTAGGAATGATTCATCCCAACAGTCCTCAGCAGCCTTTAGCATCACAATGAAGCCATAAACTCTCTCAGTCTAATGCATTTAGGATAAGAAAATTAGCTAAATGTCAAACATCTGAATGCTGTCCTTTCACCTCAATCATCTTCGTAACGACACTGTTGTGTTGCACAGTATTGTCGTCTGCAGTAACTTAAGAACAATCTTATCGTCCTTTCACACTGAGGTTTTTATTCTGTCACAGAATAATATTTTTGAATCACCGCCACAAACGAGCAGAAACCCTCTTTCCCCCCCAATTTCCACATCCTCTGCTCTTCCTGCTTCTTATTCGCAAAACACAAATGATGATCTGCAAATTATCCATTTCAAAAATGGCAACCGCTGAAGTCATTTCAAAGGCCAGATGATTCAGCGAAGCACATGTCCAGAGACGGAGAATGCTGTTGTGTAATACTTGGCGAGGGTGCAGACGAGCATCATTCCTCCACACAAACCTGACCCTCTGTCTCATTTCCCATCCTCCGACTGTCTGGAAACAAATTGCTCGGCTCTCTGCCACGCTCTCCGTTTCTCTCCCACTTAATTTTTCAAACTCAAAGTTTTTTTTCTGTTCTTGGGAAAGGGAGGAAAAGGGTACTGTTCAGTCCAAGTCTGCTTAAATATGCAGGTGAATTTAGATTTCTTGTCAGGTTGGTCACCGTCCTGCCCTGACATTTGATACCAGCTCTGAAGTACTCTTTTTCAATTGAACTTAAATAACAGAAACAGTACCAGTGTACAAATAGTATAACATATATATGTAGTTAAGTACTGAGCACGTGGAGTCCAGATAGCACATTCGAGCTTTAAGAAACATTTAACATGGAGCTTTCAGCACTTCAGAACAGCAGTTATAAAGGCTCAAGAATAGATGCACAGTACTTGAAGTGTCCTGATAAATTTAAACACCTTAAACATGCACAATACATCTAATAAAGGATCCTTTTAATAAGTGAATTATAGGGCCATGATGGTGCCTTCAGCCTGTATTGATATGCATTGGCTGTTGGCACAGAGCATCACAGTGTTTAATCTTCACCAGCCCTGTTCACAGAAATTCTCTCACAGCCGGTTTTTACCTGCCAGCCAACATCCCGTTGCGCGTCTCCTGGGATCCATGCTCGGCTGTCATTTTGTATGTAAATGTAATCATGCCAGATAAGACTGAACTTCGGGCAAGGCTGGTCGATCATTATTGACCAATGTCACCAACTCTCTCATTACTCAGAGGCTTTCAGAGCCAGGATAAAGCCTGGTCTATCAATACAATAAGGTAGAAGAAACCACTGAGCGGCTTGAGGACAAGGAGAGCGCCAACAAGAAGACAGCGACGGCCCTGTGCAGCACTGCCTGTGGCGAGCAGTGACACTCTCTTTCTGTGAAGTGGAACGAAGACACCGTGCAGCCTTGTCATCCTGTATTTGTGGCCTCAGATATGAGACGGAGATGGATTTTGTTAGCGTGCTGATCCACAAAAGGTGGCAGGGGAGGGGTACAGAAGGGCAGCGGCTATTTTGGGATCTGTGGTGTCAAATCTCATGGACTTTTACCTCTAATTATTTCTTGCTTTTCATCACCTCTAATTTATTCCTGATGGCAGAACATCCAATGTGGATGTGATGTGTATCTCTCAGTTTATTTTATTGATTGATGGTGTATTTGACCTATTCTCATTAATATCTGGCTAAATGCAAACAATGTCGTTGTGTTTTGGTTGATTTAGACTGAGCTGTTTTTATCTACATGCAACGCGGCTCGGCTTCCGTGGAATCCACCATGTTGAACCGCCATGTTTCTACAGTAACCCATAATGGACAAACGAAACACTGGCTCAGAGTCCTGCATGGGTTCAGTTTTGCAAACCTGCACCTCTTTGCATCTGCAGATCTCAGAACTGGAACTGACCCGTTACCTGCAATTGTCTCCAAGTCAAATCCAGACCAATCCTGACCCGTTAATAGAAGACCCACAACCTGACTCATGCTACACAGTCATAATTTTTCTATATTCATATTATATTCATGTAGAAACTTTAATTAAAATAATATATAATAATATCATTGAATCACTCACCAGGTACTCTGCTGCTGCATGCACACAGCCAGCTGTGCACAGATGTCAATTGATAATTATTAATTATTATTAATAAGCCTTGTGCCAGTTTGCTAAATCCAATCTCCACACACAGAGCCTCCCTGTAGTTTCACTGTTGCAACTACAGGGGAGCCTGGGGGAGCTTCTCTCCTCTTAATAAGACATGAGCTCCCCTGAAGACATGATTTCTGAAATTGTGGGGGTCTCTAAAATATTGACAATATGCTATTTTTGCCATGCATTTCTTCATTTTTCTGTATCGTCATCATCATGGATCATGTGTAAAGTTAGGCTGTTTTCCATGTATTATCCATGCATGACTTTGATTCATCACTAATCCGCTTTGATAAAGATACCGGCCAGCATGCTGTTCTTGCAACCATCCACCCAAAAAGTCACAGTATAGATCACACACTGGCTTAATGTTGTCTCAAAATACTGTAAGCAGCAACACAAATAGGTTTTCTGAAATAAATTTTGATTTCACTCGCAAAGTTCAATAAACAAATCTAATTAAAGAACAACAATGATCCATGTAGACTTTAAAGGTGGCTCCAAAATTAGCAACACAAACCAAAACATCCATTGACTTCTCAGACCACTATAATCGCTCTCTGTCATTGATCCATATGTTCCTATGCTTTAAAGCAACAAGGAACTTTAATTTTCTGTTCATTCTGGAGGCGCCTGTGAACAAAAGCGGTAGTGTTTCTACATCGTTTCATCATGCAGCTGCTTTCTGTATGATCGTGAGGATTTTTCAGCCTACCAGAGTGTCTCCAGACTCATTTTGACAGACCTGACAGTTTAATATCGTGGTCCTGAGGTTTGAAAATAATGAGTTTAAGCTGACAGCCACAACTTATTTGATTAGATCACACAGGTGACTCACCAGGAGAGTCTGATGTGAAGGAATTATTGGCAAAAATGAAGACTGAGAAGATAAATTGTGCTGCTGCAAACATCATTAGATGCAAGAGGTGAAGGTCTAGACATGATTATTTCTGTTTGACTGGTGCTGAATTATCAAAAACTCTGCTAAAAGTTCAGTGTGAAAAAGTGTTGACAGCTGAGTAAAGTTGTGGATTTGTGTGTGTCTATTTCTTCCTTCATTGGAGTGAAATATTAGTTTCACAGTTTGAGCATGACGTTTTTTTAGATGGCTTTAAGCAAAGTGCATCCATACAAATGTATTATTAACAGCTTAGTTATTTATGAGAGGGAAAAATATTGGTACTGGTATCTGCAGATACTAAAGGTTTGAGCATCGGTATAGGAAATGAAAAAGTGGTAACAAGCCATCCCTAGCTGGGATGGAGGCAGCTTGCAGAGGATGCAGTAAAGGTAGGCAGGCTAAAGCAGCTTTAATAAGGCTTCTTCTATGGTATTTGCCAGCTGGGTGTTTGAAGGGAATCAGCTGATGTGGGTTGTTTACGATCAGCTGATGGAGCTGGGATTGTGAGCTGAGATTGACTTTGTGGCCTGCCTGAACTAACGCCAATTACTCGAGTAAGTGTACTTGGTTACATTCCATCACTGCCACAGTATCTCTGGTTAATGTTGTATTTTAATGACAATATTGGATTTTAGGGACAGCAGTGTTGGTCTGTCGGTCCACCCCTTTGGTCCAGATTGAAATACCTCAACAACTACTGGATGATAAAGAGAAAACATTGTCTCGCCAGCATCCATTTAACAGTTAAATTTCGAGGTGTGAGACTTTAGGTGTTGTTTTTGGATGTTTTTATGTTGGAGTGTGTGTTTATGACGTGTCGCTGTGTGTATCACATACCGTCGCTCGTCACCAACATGCGGTATCAACTTCTCAGGAATTAAAAACAGTCTTTTTTTACAGAGTGTTTGTGTGTGTTTATATACATATCTTGTCTCCATCACGTGTAAGCAACGCGTGCTGTGCATGTGTTTCTCTCTCGATCTGTGAGTCATCAGACCAGTTGGTGTACCCACATGCCAAGCTGGCTCGTCGTTGGCACCCGGCACTCCCCCACACTGACGGCATTTATTTAACACGAACAGAGCTGTGCTTCACTTTATTCTGTGTCTGTGCTGTATGAAACTGCAGCTCCACTGCACACTGACCCCTTCCGCAAAAAGCCACATGTCTAAATCACAACCATTAGAAGTCAGTTTCAAAGCAATGTGAGGTCAA